TATTCGTAATGAGACATAATGATGAAATGAAAAGAACGAAAGTGAGAAAATTCATCCTTCTGTCGCTTCGTATACTTCACATTAAACGTATTCGTTCTATTCGACTTCATTACGGCCCATCTCTAGTTACCATCATCGTTACAGTAACTGTAATTGCTGGTCGGTTACCGTTCTATGTAACGATAACGTGTAAGCAGTTATCGTACAAGTAACGGTAACTGTTCAGTATATCTTTCAAGAGTCAAATCTCTAAATATCTAGGCATGCAGGGTGAGGGTGAGGCTACGAACTTTCACCCTGGATACCTAGATATTTAGAGATTTGACTCTTGAAAGATATACTGACTTTACTGGACTTTAAGAGACCAGTGCAGCATAAATTAATGCTAATTAGAGCTAATTAGTCAATAACAGAAAGCAAAAACCAAACTTTTCTTCCCGTTTCTCTCAATAAATATTGTTCACCCTAAACCGAAAAAGTGTGTTTAAAAGGCCAAAGGGTTTTTCTGTTTGACCAGAAAACCAAAAGGTGTTTTTCAGAAAGAGTCAAACGGTTTTCCAGCTTTTGTAAAAACCAGAAGGATTTTTTTCCTAAACGCTTTTGGTTTAGAGAAACATCGTTTTTGGTTTTTCAAGTAGCGAAGGATTTTCTAGTTTTGCAAAAAAATCAGCAGAGTTTCTCAAAAAGAGTTATTAATCGAACACTTTATATTTCGAAATTCAACAAACAATTTATCTTAACGTCGGTGAACTCTTATGTAGCGATTTCTATATAAAGAAAGAGTCAAAAAGAAAAACTTTTGATACGAGATCTCTCAAAATAAAGTGTTTCTTAAGGTGATTGACATACTGATATCACCATGTTTTATGTGGTTTTCTCTTCGAGAACATAATGTTTCAGTTCTGCTTTAGAAAAATTAAAAAGCAGATATAAATTGCAAAAAGTTCGAATATAAAAATGGTGTTTTATTTTATTGTTTTATCTCTTATTTTAATTTATTAAACTGTATCTTAAGATATAGAAGAAAAGAGTAATTACTCTTTTGTTTACGATCTCTTTTTGTCTTAGACGTTAGATTTGCGTATTTGCTACTTATAAACACTCTTTTTTAAACTAAAAATTAGGGTTAACATCAGCAGTTGCTTGGATAGAACCAAAAAGGGCGCGGTAGACGAAAGATGAAATTTGCATTGTCAAAAGACTAACCAAAGACATGATAGCCGGGTAATTTTCAAGACAGAAGGTTCACCGGTTCATCGAAATTCTATAAATTGAGCTATTTAAAATATCTTCATCTGCTGGTCCAGCTATTTTAAGTTGTTTTAAGTTTAGACGTGGGATTGTTTTTGCTGCCAGTAAGAAGACAAATATTTGGTCACCTCGAGCAATCGCAAAAGTAAATGAAACAAAGGTTAACGATCACTATAAATCTTGTGGCAATATTTCTTTTGTAAAACTATAAAACAACTTAGTAAACGACACTAATCTATACTGCCTTCTTACCCAATTCGATTCAAGCGTGTATAACAGAAAAAATGTACAGCCTATCGTGGATACTGTCCTTAGAAACTTACTTTGATTTTTCAATATTATTTCTTCCGAGTGCAACTGAATTTTTCTCTCAGGATGTGGCGCAGAAAAACAAGTTATTAAATACATATTCGATAAAACATTGCACTTGTTGCTTTTATGTGTAATTAATGACATTTAAAGATGAAATGAAAAGCGATAAATTTCAACTCTACATGATCTTAAAAACTGACAGGGTAGTGATAAAACGTTTAGCAAAAACAAAAAACTTTGACGAAATTACCCCACTACACAAAAAAGAAATAAGAAATTTTGATGACGGAGTAGCCAGAAATAATTTTTTAACCCTTGAAATAAATCAGAAAATAATAAAATTCGTATAAAATCGGTCAAAAGATCTTAAAAGTTCTTGATCAGAATAAAAAGAGGAAAATGTTAAAGAAAAGAACAAGAACACCATTGTGTTTTTTGCTTCACCGTACATGCAATGGCCTACTTCATCTGTTGTATTATTATCAAGATGGAGAGAAAGAGATACTAACAACTATTTAACTAACGAATATTTCCCTGCTTGATAACATGACCGAGATATTCGATCTGGGTTTTTGCTACTGCACATTTCTCGGCGTTCAATTTGAATTTTGCTTCGTTTAATTTGCTGCATATTTGGTTGAGATGGATAACGTGATCTTCGAAGGTTGGAGAATAGATAATTATATCATCTATATACGCTAAAGCGTAATGCCAACGGGCTGGACCGAGTAAATGATTACTGATTCGTTGGAAAGTTGCGGGTCCGTTGCAAATGCCCTGAGGAAGAACCTTGAACTGGTCATGGTTGTCTCTTGCGCTAAATGCCGTTTTTGAACGGTGAGATACGGCTAATGGTATTTGGAAATATCCTGCACGGAAATTAAATCTGGTATAATAAACAGCATCTGCTAATTGGTCGAAAATCTCGTCGATTTTAGGAAGAGAAAAGACGTTCTTGATAGTTATGTCATTTAATTTTCTGTAATCGATGCAGAAACGAGTTGAGCCGTCTTTCTTTTTCACGAGGATTACAGGAGCCGACCAAGGTGATGTTGATTCTTCTATTTGGTTTCGATCTAATAATTTTTGCACTTCTTGATTTTTAATCTGGTGATCTTTTGCACTTGCTGGATACTGCTTGCAGACTATAGGTGGATGATCGATCGTCTTGATAGCAGATTGTGGCTCAATATTGATGACAGATGGTGTCGGATCAAAGATTTCTTTATTACGCCATAATATATCTTGCACTTGAGATTTATGGTTAGGATCTTCCAGCTGTTGAGTTAAATTCTGAATGCTGTCACGACTCTCTCGTGGATAACATTTCTCACGTAGATGTTGCTGTAAATCATTTCCGGATAGAAATTGTTGATGGCATTTGTTGCATTTAGCTTCTAACAGACAGTGCGAATCTCCCGCATGAAAGCGGTCGGTTCTGCTCTTTAATGGCAGACTTTTCAGAAATTTTTCCACATTTTCATTTGGATCTCCTGAGAAATTTTGTAAATCTTGAAACCATGACTTCCTAGCTACTGTTACCAACGAACCTAACCCTTCTTCGTCTGACATATCGAATATTGTAATATTTTGTATCGATCGTGGAGTATTATGTATTGATGATGTTGGTGTAGGTTTGGAAGTAGGATATGTAATTTGATCATGTGGTGTTAATGTCAAATTATTTTGACGAACGTTAGATCTTGTGCCTTTCGTTGTTGATTATGATTTAATGTATTAACGTTATGATTTAATAGAGTTTTAAAATTTTTGAAACTTTTTTTTTTTTAGGAATTATTAAACTTTATTATAATGTTATGGCACGAAAACACAGAGGACGCCCTAAAGAGAAAGGCTAAAAAGGAATTATGCTCACCGGAGATTAAACTTCAATAGAATCGAACTCTGCTCGAGAGACATTTCTGCCGGTTAATATAATATATAAGAATCGACTTCCTACAGAAGTCGAGTCTGCCGATCCCTTTTCTTATTTGTGAAACTACTTCGTAAAAAACTCGTTTCTTTGGCTTATTACTACTGACTTGTGAATCAACTTCGCGGAGAAGTCGCGTCTGCCGATTTTCTTTTAATTTAATTTGTGTGAATCAACTTTAGTAAAAGTCGAGTCTTCAGCAAAAAATTAATATCATCTGAAACATTTCAGTTGTTGTTATTTAATAAATCAATAAACTACGGCTTTGAGCCAGGGTCGCCAATCGTTAGAGGATGTTCTACTCTGCAATCTAACTCTTCTCTAGCTTTATTGTATCAATGAATGAAACAAACATATAAAAAACCCAACCGATGCAATAATCGACGGAACAAAATGTGACTTATTGAATGAAGTGAAAACATGTATATATATATGAGAGAAAAGTCTATAATCGATGGATGATGAATAGGCTGACTGTACAGTCAGAAGGAAAAAAGCAGACAAACAATGTGTCACTGTATGCATATACAATGAAAGATAAAAAGAAAGAAAAAGATCATCAGTGAGAGGCGTGATCTCTCACATGTTGTTAACATTTTCGTACACTAGCCCATATGCGATTATCATGTATAAATCTAAAAGGATCATAGTGTTAATCTGTTAAGTTTCTCGATGAAACTGTGTGAAATCTATTGAAACTTGCACCATAAAATACACCGGATGATTTGACTTTTGTTCAACAGTAAGACGCTGTCAAAGTCGCTCTATACATCGCTGAATCTCTGTGGTTCAGCGAAAAGAAAGCTTCAGTTGGTTAAATACAGTACAGAAGCACGAACGAAAAAAGCAGAAAGTCTGCAGACAAGTAAAATGAGAAATGGATGCGTGTCACACGTAACAAAGAAAGAAGAATATTTTAACCATAACATTTTACGATATACTGAGAAATGCTCGTGGTTTAAAATGTGTCGCACAAATTTCATAAAATTTCATAAAGCTAATACTGAATATCCTTCTTCGCTTTGAAAATACCTAGGATTTTCTTCGTACTTGGAGATTATTGTTGTATCTTCATTTACCATATTTTATGTTTGAATAACAACAGCATTTTGTTTCGGTCGTCGTTCAACATTCGCAGATAGTATTCCAACTCGATTTGCGCTGTAATCGGAACAACACAGTTTTCTAATCATAACGATAAACCGTTCGCGGAAGGGTTTAGATGATAAAATAAAAATATAGAATGGAGAACAAAAATCAATAGTGAAAATGTAACGTGTTATTAGTACAAACAGAGAATCTTCGGCAGTACGTAACGGATCTTTTGCCAGTTGTGCTGTAAATAGTGTGTATGCAGTTTGCACACAGTACGGAATCTTACATAAAATAAAAACAATTATTTGCATTAAAATCATCTTTGTCGTTTGTTCATCCACATATGTTCGCTGAGATCGCCTTCGTTGATTTTGTTTAATTATATAAACATTTCGTGTTGTTAGAGTTCCTAATGCAGACAGTAGGGTGATGGGCACAATGCCATAAAGGATCGGTACCTGAAAATAGAATGTATACTCTTTCCAAGGACTTGAAACAATTGTACATGCTAATATACCATTAGCACTACGTATCACATCATAATAAATCAACGATGGTATATTAACAAATGACCAAAGTAAACATAGAATCAAAGTTGAATAACGGGCCACTTTCATATTTGAGAAACTGCGCACATATACAGACCTCGATGAGCTGACATAGCGATCAAATGCTAGGAGACAAGTGATTGAAATGGATGATAAGGATGCTGCGGGTGTCATTATATACCTTATTTTGCAATAAAGAACACTATTTGTTGATCCATCGACACCAAAACCGTCAGCTAGTATCCGTACCAATAATGCAAATAATAACTGTATTGAATTGACTATAGACAACACAATAATGTAAAAAGAAGATGGACGTTTCTGTAATTGTTTTATGGAAAATATACAAATATTAAGTGTATTACCTAATAACCCAAAGATGAATAATGATATTCCAAAATATAGTGAAATTTCTTTGCCAATGAGCGTTAAAATTGCAATTATCTCTGATGTTGTCGGCATCATTTATATTTTAACTAAGTTAGGAGACAAATGCGACAGTAACCTTTATAGTCGTCTAGTCTTACTCTAATCATCGATGATACAAACATGTCTAGTATAACGACAAATTTATACCATGTCTAATCGAAAAGCGAGAGGAAAACGAGATTATTAGAAAGACAAATTTATTTGAAAAGAGGAGCTTTAATGTCGTCGAAATAATGTCTCATTAAGTAAATCAGAGATGGCATGATGTTCGCGCTGATAAAAGATTTTTATAACAAGGCATCGTTACAGGCTTATTAACAATCAGATCCATTCTTTAAAACACAAATGCAATATAGATGACACATACATTCTATTCAGTTACCTTCATTTTTTAATTCACGTAGGATTAATTTAAGAGCTAAATGCTATCGTGCTTA